GGAGGAAACTTTTATTAACAGTATTTTTGGGATTTCACATGGATCCCATACGAAATTTGCTTATTCATATTCTATTTGCTAATAAAAAAAAAAAAGAGAGAGAAGTATTATCTTCTCACAAGGCAACAGAAAATACAAATTAAAAGTTAAAAAATCAATTTTGCTATGGTATGATGGTTAGGAGTTGACAACTGCTGCACCACATCCTCAATTCAAATCTCACTGTTGATCTACCTAAAAAATGGAAAAAATAAAACAAAATAAGAGTCCAATCATTAGAGTGACTACTAACAAGCTATTTTATAAAACCTTTCGATTTTGCACTCAAATTTTCTGCTCAACTTTAAAATCTTCATGAATCACTTAATTTTGTGAATTGAGTGAGTCGCAATCTGCCTAGTATAAGTTTACCAGCGATCATGTCTAAGAGTATTTCTGGAAACTTCTCCCATCAAAATAAAATTCCTTGTGACAAGAACCCCCACCCCCTGCATATTAACAATATTCAATCATCCCAATAAAAACATATATCTAAGAAAAAGAAAAACCTTTCTATATTGCTGCCCAAATAGGCATCGATTTGTAACTTGCCCAGGTTTAGTTGTCATTGCTCATCTCCTACACCACTGCCAGAAAATGGCTTCTTTAAGCTTTACTATGAGGCAAATAAAATAAATCAGGCTTCTCCATCCAAACCAGCATATAAACGCTCGGTGACCTGCTGCAGCTAGTACATGCATTGTTGCTCAAGCTTCTTCTTTAGCTGCAAGACTACAAGCGAAGCCATGCTTTACACCACCATTCGATAAGGTAGAGCATGATGGCCTAGCAATTTGGTGGTGATGGTAGAGCACTGGAGCATGGTGAGAATCGCAATATGTACTCCAAATATGGAGGGATGCCATGCATTGATTGGTGCATTCCCCTCCAAGGCAGTCATGATATGTCTGCCAGCATCGTAAATAGGAAACGCATTCATTCCCTGCTTTGTCAGATCATCCCACTTTTTAGCCAATGCACTCCCATGCATGTTTTTCAATTATGTATGTGTGCATGCGTGTATGTATTTAGCTAGTGCGTGTCTGAGTATATAAAGGTTTCTGAAACTATATCTCAATACAGAGACATGCAGGCAATGACATAGGATCCATGTTGCTAATCTCATACCATGGAAACAATTATACCTTGAAATGAGGAACAATCCCCTTGGTCCTGAGATCCGTGTCGTCTTTTGTAGGGCATAGCAGTCTGCTCAGAACAAAAGGGCATGACATCAAAATAACCTTGAGATACAAAACAGGAAGAAAAAAAGGTGACGGTACATTTTGTAAACTTAGATAATTGGTATGATCCAAGTTCTTTTCCCATAATTTTGATATTTGAGATTCTATACAAATTATACTTTAATTCATACTCCTGAATTGGACGTTAGGGCTATACTTGATTGTTCAAAATATGTGGAGGAGAACTTCTCTTACTTCTTAGATCGCATCTCCGCAAATGTTGCTTGAAGCCCAAACAAAGAGGTTGAAAGCAAAGAGCTGCATAACGATACTTCCGGCCTCAGAACACTACTCAAACACAAAAATTGTAATCACAATACTTTCTTATTATTATAAATCGCATTATGAACAGAAACTTTATTTCAGTAAAACATCATCAACATAATTGTGAAAAGGGTTTGATTTAGGACACCTGAAATAAGCCAAGAACAGTTTCAATTGCTTCCATCATATCCAAGGCGTCCATCCTTCATACATGTTACATAGATTGTCTATGCTAGTAGCTTGCCTGATTAGATGATCCACATGTGCTGCTATGTCCAATTGCCTTTCAAATACCAGGGCAAAATAAAATTAGGTCTATAGCACATCCCAAGAAACTGTTCACCAATGCAACCACAAAGTTAATCACTACCTGTCACCATCAATATCCCGACCATCCAGCTTCATCTCTACTCGTCTCAGAACTGATAATGCATAAGAATTTTTGCCTGATAATAAAAGGGAACACATGTTTAGAAACTTCGCAGGTTTTGTGATTCATAGAAATTTTTGACAAAGTTTTATGTTGGCTGCCTACCTAACACAACCCACCTCCTTCACTCGGGCTTGGGACGTGTTAAGGGAAAGTTTAAGGTCCTCACCCTTCTTAGACAATATTTAGAAACTTTGCAGGTCATCTACACTTATTATTATAAACAAATAGGTGGTCTCCGCTACATGTTTCTAAGATCACAAGTTGCCCTCGTAACCTTTTTTCATCAAGTTAACAATATTATGATAGGTAAAATGTGTAATTGATCACTTTTGAATAACAATGTCTTCTTTGTTGTTTCTAAAGTTGTGAAGGCGTAGGCTAAGTGCAATAAAGTAACAATGAAGGGAAAGTATGCTACAAATGCAGTGGACTATGGTATACTCTCCATTGGGATCATCAGTGTCCATTTTAAGTGCTGGACTGCAAAGAGAGGGAGTAGGACCCACCAGAAAAGAACAACAGTGGGTCCCACTATGCCATGTTCATTCATCACTTCAAAGGACAGGGATGACCTTCATGGACTAAAGTGTTGACAGCCATTGGATTACACTACACTTTCCCACTAAAAAGAAATCAGTATATTGTATAAGAGTCAGACCTCTGGGGACTCGACTGCTAGGATCTGCATTACTCGGCGGATCATCGCTGTTTCCTCCTCGTCCGTTGTCTTGTTCAGTTGTGACAACTTCATTTTTATTGCCCAAAGACTCATAATTGACAGAAATGTCCTCTGCCAAATTATATTCTCGATCAGGCTGGCTGCTCAAAGGTTTCAGTTGAGAATCAGAAGTATTTGGAGGTGAGGTTGATTCAGTTATTGCCAACGAGGAAATACCATCATTTAATGCTTCCATGTACTGTTGGGTTTCTGGTTTCTCACTTGATAAGATTTCATGGACACCACCGATGAATGAAGATGCTGAATTTGAAGGATCTGAAGTCCCCCCAATTGTAGCATTCTCTGTACTGGTAACTCCAGATCTAGGGCTGCTACTATAAATGCTATCTGGTGGTGATACCCACTCATCTTCAGGACAGAAGTCATCATCTACTGTATAACCCGAAGCACCCTCATTTCGAATGAAATTCTTATCCTCGTCAATGGAGAAGATATCATGCCCCCCCAGTTTAGAGCTTGATAATACAATCCCCTGTGACCTTCCATCTTGACTTTCTCCAAGGCCTTCGAGTGCCTGCACAGACCCAGTGTCGAAGAGAATCTTTTTTATTAGATAAGTAACCATCATCCAAGAGATTATGGTATACGAACTAACAAGGACCCAGAAGATGCAACATGTCTTGCTTAATGCAAAAATTGTCAATTGATTTAAACACTTGAAAAGCTATGGAAGCCACAATATTTTGGAAGAACGTGAAAAGTTCTCACCTAAAGCTAAAAAGGACGAGACGAACAGAAAACAAAGGACAAAAAACAAAAGAAGTTTACGAAATGCGAGGCATCAAGAAATACAGTAATGTTTAAGACATAATTATGTTGATGAATACAGCTGTTCAGAAAAAAAAAAAAAAAGCAACTGCATCTAATCAAATCTAAGCAGAAGGGGAAAATGTATAGAAGAAATAGCGAATTTCATACCAATAATCCTCATGCTATCAAATTGCCCTTAATTAACTGAAAGAGAAGATATTTATGGAAAATAAACCCAGTAATTCTCAGGTTTAAGGAAATTTTCCCTAGAAATCATCCTCGTGCTATCAATGTGCCCTTAATTAACTGAAAGAGAAGATATTTATGGAAAATAAACCCAGTAATTCTCAGGTTTTAAGGAAATTTCCCCTAGAACTTTGAAATGTGCAGTAATGACATTGCCTTTCAGAACATATTGGAAATCAATTCAGGTCAGAGAATAGATCTAAGTCAGAGCCAAGTTTATCATCAGATAATTCAACAACATTTCTGATGGAAGTGGAACTACCTTGTGGAGGTTGCCTGCATGAAGACTAGCACTGCGAGCTAAATTGGTCACCAGTATGAGAAGCTCCTTCACAGAGTGCAAAAGTGATGGCACCAACGATCTCAGAGGTTGGCAAGACTCCCTAAGCTTTAAGCAGTAAGTTTGATATAACGCTTGGCCCTGAACCAAAGGTAATTCCAGCTTGCTTTCCCTCTCTCTGGAAATCACATTGGCCATTGCAGCCACATCTGACACTAACATTGATTCAAGAGGAAGCAAGATAGAATTTGCCTGCATAAAAAACAGTTAGTCCCACAGTGTATTTGCAATTTGGTTAGTTTCGGTAAATGAAGTATGCAGAAATGGCATTCTAAGAAATTAATAGATTCACATGAAAAGAACATGAGCAATTTCTAGAGAACTTCCTAGAATACAGAATTACTCAATTAAACTTCTGAAGTCACTCAGAGCCCATCTATATATGGTTTCAAACCTACTAAGTATACATAATATTAAAAACACAATGCTTGAATATACTAAAACATTGAGTAGTAAATTACCATCAGAATTTCTGCTACAATAGAAAACAGGAGCAGCAACCAAAGCATCTAACACAAATATTTTCCTGGAGCATCCAGTTTGCCATACAAACATTGTGCCAATGTACAATTTCCTAACACTATGGTTCCATATTAAATTTAAAGCAAGGCAGGATAGGCATTTAAGTCTGGTAATATCAAAAAACAAAAAGAATGTATTGATTCTTCAACTGAAATGCTGATGTAACCCATATATATCCTAGATTTAACATTGTACAAAAATCAACTCGTAAGAAAATATTATGAAAAATTAGAATCCAGATCTCTAAAATATAAGGAAAATGAGTTTTAAGTTCAAACAAGCACAAAAAGAAGTCTCACAATACAATGCGGTACCTTTGTAAGGTCTACCATAAGGGCTTTGTGAACTGTTGCAGCTTCCTTTCCCAAGCCATAAATATCAGGTATCCCGTCAGTTATTGCAAGAACCTGTGAGCAATTAAGGTATCAACTAAGCAAAAACTACCATTGCTCCCAATCAATTCCAGGAAAGATTGATACATTCATAATGTAATTTGATATAACAATAAAGGTTGCACAAAGTATCTAGAATAAATGTTAAGAACATAATGATTTCTCTGGAAATGGAAATTCAGGAAGCCCCAAATAGAAGAAGAGGACATCCAGAAACTTTAAACACTTAAGCAACATGACCCACCAGGCCATTGTATGACAGAATAATAATCTCATGAAAGGAGTATTAAGGTTCTTTATTTTTTAAAATGTGATGTTCTTTCCAACGTTTTGATGTCCATCTTTTTTACTTCTTACTTTTCAGTATCACAAACAACTGAACCAAAGTCTTGTTAGACTGTTTTCAGGTTCCATTTCGAGAATCTAAGTTTTGCAGCTTTTACAGCATTTAATGTTAAAAGTACTTATTCTATGATTTTGTGCGAGTCCCTAAAATTATTTGTCTTTCCATTGACCATCTTTTGATAATCATATTATTACCACCAGTATTTAATTACTCAGGTGAGTCTACTCGGACTCACCCGATTTACTATGCCATGGCAGGCTGCCCAGCCCGAAACCCCCCAAAGTCAGGGGCTATATAATTAATATTTAACTGTATTATATTTCATTAATAATTGATTTAATCTTTGATTAAAGCAATTATGATTTATATATATTTAATTTTATAATTTTTATATGTTTTTATTTTAATGATTTTTCTCTTCTTTTTTTGAAAATATGATTTTTAACCAGTTTTCTATTTTTCATTTTTTGAAAACTTTTTTCTCATCTTCTATATGTTACTAATGTTGTTTTTGGGTGGGTGGCTTTTATTTTTTAGTTTTTTTCAGATGGGTGACAAAGTGGTGGTTGGGTTTAGGTCATTAAGGCTGCTTAGCGCGGAATCAGGCAAGTCAACATAATTTGGCCCAGCCACGGGCCAATTTATTGTGCCAAGACAAGTAGTCAAACACTGATTACCATGCATGGTTTATTGAAAGATACCTTTTTATTCAAAAGGCGCTGTGATCATTTCAATTAAGCCATGGTCATCCACTATATTTATACCTTAATACAGCCGGTTATATTAATGAAAGTCACAAATTCAGACCTCTTCTAACATGGAACCACATTCAGTGGTCAAAGCAGTATGACCGCGTGTCACCCGACCAAAGGAAGACAGTGCCCCACCGGCTTCATAGGTAGAATCTCGCATGGAAGTAAGCACACCTTGTATATCACCTGAAATAAGTACCTTGAATCAAGCCTGTTTTCCAAACCTCAAGTAAAAGCAAGGCAGATAATATATACACAAACTTTAAGAAAAAGATTGACCTGAAGCAGATTTTGCCTTCACTAATGCAATAGAAAGTTCATTGGTTGCAGAAAACAGGCCACTAGTAGCAGCTTCCATGCTACTTTGTGCTAGCTTCCAATCATGCTCAGCACCTACACATTCAGACAAGAAAACCTGTTAACTTATGGCACTTTGGATCAATGTTAAAATACTCAGCTCGGGCTCGGACTTGAACCCTGCCATCCGAGTAACTCAAGTGAGTCCAAGTGGACTGGGCGGAGCCAGAGTCCTGCCAGAGCCCAAAAACTGGGCAAAAAAAGGTACAAAAATTTGTTTAAAATAATTAAAAAATAGTTAAAAGAAAAAGAAGTTGTAAACATCACTAAAAGTTTATAAAAGGTGTAAAAATTATGTAGCAATAGATCTTGAAGAAAATCAATTTATGAGCTTGAAGCAATATAGACAAATACAAAAAAGGAGTAAAATTACAAAATTAGAGCATATAACAAGAAAAATTAACAGATCATCATAAAAGACACAAAAATTATATAGAAACATATTTATACATCATTGGTATTAGTGATGATCATTATCATCATCTGAGCCTTATCCCAACTATTTTGGGACGGATACATATTAATGATATAATAACAAAATTTGTTTATTTTTAGGGGATTTTAACAACCCGAATTTGCCTCAAAAACTCACCTCGGTATATGCCGAGTCCGAGTCGACTCGGCTGAATTTTGAAACACTGCTGTGAATCATCTCATTATTATGCCTAACATGAACCAAACATGAAATCTTTCATAAACAGCTTGATCGTAGTCTAATGTACTCACGTGTGAAAGAATGGAAAGTAATATCCAATCTTGTTAAAGCATTAAAGTAAACTTGCTGCCACACTCTTCCATCATCAGGAGCTCTCCCAGCAGATGCCTCCCCCGGAATCCTGAAGTGGCCATCTCTGGAAGCTTCAAACTCCAACAAGGATGAGCATATCTTGATAATACCTGAAGCCTGTTCTCGAGCTGCCCATAAGAGCTGTTTACGTGTAATCAAGTGATCATGGAATTCAGAAGGAATTCCTGAGACTTTAGTGGAGCCAATACCAGTGCCACTACTAGAACTTGGGCCCCCACAAGCCCATCCCATGGCTCTCTCAAGTGGTTCTTCTGCTGACCCAGCAGTTCTCTCACATGCTTGCAAAGAATCAGTAGCCCTAGCTAATGAGGACATACCAACTTGGATGTCTTCCAATATTTTGTGTCTTTTGAGTTCAAGAATCATGGGTGATAAAGAATTATCATCAAGAAAACCTGAAAGTATGAGCCTAGTTTCTTGTACATAAGGTAACCCAAGGTCATGCAGCCACTCTAATTGAACGGCTTCTAGGCATGCCTTCTGAAGATTTAGGGAGAGTTCTCTTAGCCGCCTTTTCATTAGAGAAACAGCTGCCTTCGCTGCCCTAGCTGTCTCATGGGCATTACAATACTCCTCAAACATAGCATGTGCCCTTTTCACTGTTCCAATCTCTCTCCTTGGTTGATTTGGTCCAACATCTTTGGTCTCTGGAATAGTGAGTTGCAGGTACTCGCTTTCTTTGTCCAATGTATCCAAGAGCACTGGTACAACCCTTTCTCTTAAGTAGCAGTCTAAGTGAGCTTGGAGCTTAAGTTCAAGCTTTTTCTTTTGGGCACTATACAACTGATCAAACCCTAAATTATGATCAGCAGATGCAGTTAAGTCATGAATACATGAATCAAAGAAAGAGTCAATGATGCCGATTCTCCAGACAAAAAAGGAATGCTCTTTCAATAGGTGCACATCCTTCCAGATTAAATCAGTTAAAGAATATCCAGACCGAACAAGCTCTGCCTGGCTCAGTGGTTTTGTTTTTGAGTAAGACTCTCCAGTACCAAATGATGAGAGCATTCGATCAATTGATTCTAGTTCAGAAAAGGAATTAGCCAATGCAGCCAGAAGAATATTGCTTCTCATCACATGCATATCACCACCTTGTTCAAAATTTGTAAGTGATGAGAAACGCTTTTCTGACAAATTCAATGAATTTCTGAGTTGGGTTTCCCTCCTTGTGAGGGAAGAAGCATGCGCATCTTTCTGGTTCCATGTCTGATGGAGTTGGTCCAATTGCGCTCTGCAAGCCTCCTCTTGAGTGGCAAGCTCTTCTGCCTCTTCCCAAGAGAGATTATCTCTACCCTTCACAGCTGCCTCTTCAAGTGCCAATTGCTGCTCTGTAATCAATCCAACTTTTACAAAGTAGTTCTCTTCCAGGTCCATTAATGACATTTTCTCCAACTCAACTTCAATGAGCTGCTCCACTGCCGTATCAACAGAACCACGAATCTGTGATAGGAAACCAAAAGCATCCATTACTGCTGTATCATAAGAAATGACTGACCTTATTAAATCTGGAAGAACTGAGTCAATCATCTGGTCGATCAAGCTCCTACAAGCAAGTATGCTAGTTCGGAAACCAGAAGCCCAATTTCCATCTAGTGGATAGTCAAAGCCTCTTCTAGGAAATTTCAAGCCACTGAAATGCTGGACTTCATTCACAACCCCAGCAACAAGTACACACTTTTCAATTTGCTCTTCTAACTCAGAGAAACTAATTTTTGAATTATGGTGCAACCCATCTTCCCCGGACACTATGAAAGGTCTTTCAGTAATAGTACTCGGGAGCCCCAACAGTTTCTCTTTGACCTCAATATACATCTCTCTTGCTGCAATGTGTAAAACAGACAACACCTTCGCCCTCTTCTCTTCAATCTCCACAGCTACCATTTGGGGATCTTTTGTCTCATCATTATGTTTGCTTTGAACTAAAACCAGACCAGAGACATCCTCATCTCTCCTCAATTGATTTGTGGGTGGCATGTACTTAGTGAAAGCAGATAAAAGCCGGTCCTTAGACTTTGTTTCAGTCTCTGATTCAATAGATTCCTCAAGTTCAGAACACTCCTCCCGAACTTTCTTTATTTCTTTTACATATTTGTCCATTTTAATACAGATAGCTTCATATCTCTGATGAACAGAAGAATCAAAAGTACTATCCCCTTTAGCCTTCGCAATAAGATCAGCAGCCTGCCTCCTGGTTAGAGCAAGAACATCAGATGAAAGGTTATTCACTGATACTTGCAATAGCTGTGCCCAACTATGCACCTTACTGGTTGTGACATAATTTAATGGGAGTATTCTCTGTAATGCCACAGCATAGGCCTGAAGTGAATTCACTGCACAATGAAACCCATCATCCCATTCTGCTGAAAGTTGTGCAATTTCCCCGTCTATTTCACTGCAGTGTGCTAGGGTTGGCTCAGGAACAACTGTTAATGGAACCCCAGCCACTTGGACTGCAGATATAAGAGATAAAGCCTCACCTGAGCTACTAAGTCTCAAGCTTTCCTGAAGATCAGGAATAGAACCACTTCGTAGTGCATCGATAACTCGCCCATGGTGGTCAACCCACAAACCTGCTTCTTGGGCATTCTCGGCTGCCACTGCTTTTGCTTGGGCAAACTCCCGAGCTTGCACCTCAAAAGTGGCACGTGTTTTCTCAGTGTTGCAAGTTGCTTCTGCAACAACTGACTTTGCAGAAGCCTCATGTAAAAGAAGACTTGATCTCTCTTGATCTGCATGATAAAAGAATGCTGATGCAATTTCATACTTGTTGATCACTTCAGCGAACCTCTGGTAGAAAAAGAAAACTTATTATCAGTCATTACCTTCATATCAAACAAGAAATGAGGCAATATCAACCAGTTTACTCCATACCTCTAAAGCAGATTCAGCTGCAGGTATAGTAGCAAGCAACAGGTCATGATGTTCCTGCATAAATCAACTAATAAAGTAAATCTAAAAGTATAATATGTCAAATCAAAATGGCTTTGGCAATGAAAAAAAAAATCAGGTGAAAATCTCAACATAAAACAAAATAGGTGGTCCTAACTCTCTTAGCAAATCAGGCAATATTATGTGGCCCTTCATATAAATACATCCAGATAGTATGCTACAAAAAATAGAGCAAATAAAGAGAGAAATTCCAGAATAGTCAAACATGTAAATGAGGCAGTAATAATGCCCATAATCTAGTTTAGCTTCATATTGACCATTCAAGTTTAATATGAAACTAAAAGCATGTTGTGTGTAATGCATTAAATTCTCGTGACAGAAGTTATAGCTTTCAGACCTCAAGTGCCCTTTCGCCTATATTTCTGCTTTTCTTCAGGTCATTGCGAGGTAAGCTCTTTTACAAATCCAAGAAAGGATAACATAGCAATAAGAACTCAAAAACATCAAAAAGAACAAATGTCATGCCCTTTTTGCATGAGTTCATATCTAATCAGAAAACATACTGAAATAGCAAAAACCAGTGCCAATATTCCTAAAACAGTATCCATCTTCTAAATATTTGCTCAGAACTGTAGAACTATTTCATAAAAAGAAATACCTGCAAAGGAACACGTATTTCTTGTACTCGAGAAGCAAATAAACTTAAACTAACTGCCAATTCCATTCCCTTTCTTTCTTCACCACCGATGGTTGCCTCATCATGGCCATCGCCACGTGTCCATTCTACCAGAGGATCCCATACAAAAACCTCCAGTAACATTAATATAATGTCTTTATTCTTCCTCAGAACACCAATAACTGACTCACAGTTTGCTCTAAATGTGCCCTCAATTCCTGTCAGACCTAAAGCTGCTTCCATGGTCTGGGTGAGGCGGAAAGGAACAATCTCAGGTATCTTCAGTCGCTGTCCTTTATCGAAGCATACATTGTAATCAATATGGACAACATCCCCAGTGCTGAAATCCATAAGAATATTATCTAAGTGTCTATCTCCAAGGCCCAATATGTGCCCCACCATGCTCATGGCTGCTACACTGCCAGAAAATCTGGAAAAAAGACATTTGTGCATGCATTTGCACTCATGACATCAGATCATCATGCCAAATTGCACAACAATTATGGGATAATAGACATCATTTATATACTAAAAACTGGCATAGAAAATAGGCCCTGTTATCCTATATGCTACTATTTCAGTGCCAAAGCCCCAAGAAAAACCATAGACAAATGCTAAAGAATCCCCTGAAGTGTTATTTTTCTAAGAATGGTTACAAAGAGGAAATATTAGCCAGTAGATACAAAAGCAGAAGTAGAACCTACAAATGCATCAATTAGTCTGAATAAAAAAAGGAGGAGACAAAACTACCATGCTATTAGCAATATTGAGAAGAAGCATTTAGCTAAAACATGCATACCTCTTTAGCTTTGAGCTGAAAGCTTTGAAACCTTCACTAGCACACCATATTTCACGGTAAAGAAGTTGTCTAGGAGTCTCTTTCATGAGGTCCACCAGAACCTTTCTTTTGACTTCATGAGGCCAATCCCTTCGTGAGATAACCCTCCTTATGCCCTTCTCTTTAAGTGCAGGTATAATCTTACCGTAAAACATGTCACTAGGCCTCGGAACAGGTGGAATAGTGTTGCCCAGGTTACTACTATTTGCCATCTGTGCAAGCTGAATACGACTTTGCCAAGATTTGAAGACACTGTATATACTAACCACATCATCAACCCACTGAATAAGACCAGCCCTACCACTTATAGGAGTCACAGAATAATAACGTACAGCAAGTAAACGTGCACGAATATTACTGCCAGATGACAAAAACCCATTAATAGCTTGCAATAACTGCATAATTCTTGCATCAAGACGGAGGTCTTCTCGGCCCTTTAGAAGATAGGTATACTTTTGACCATCAGAGCCTATAAGTCCCAACTTCTTAGGCTTTGTCTTTGTCGACAAGATAGTCACTTGCTCGCAAAAAGAAGATATAGTAACAATGCCATGGAGCTCTGCTCTTTGATCACCATCAGAACCATATAATGATATTTGTTTCTCAAGACCAGGCATAGGCACGTTGGAAGATGAGAGATGTGCCAACTGGGGAGCAGCATCAGATAAAGATAATGACGATCTTTTTTGGTGGGTTGCTAAGGATGCTGCAATAGCATCAAATGGCCTCCATACATCTCCAAGTGCAGCTGTAGATATGGGGGGTCTTTTAAAAGTTGCAATGGCAGATTTAAGCTGTTCCCCATACTCCTTTTGAAACCAGACTTCATGAGGAGTATCTGGTGTACGAGAAGTAGAAGCTAGACGACGCTCTACAGCGACAATGACAGGTGCCATCATAGCTGAGTATTTGGCAGCATTTATCTTGGCCTTTTCACTTACACTGAGAGTAGCATTCTCGGCCACTCGTGCCGCCTCCTCTTTAAGAAGGCTGACACGTCGTATGACATCTGAATAGTAACAAAAACCACATAACATCATTGCACCACAAGATATCATCTCAGTTTAGCACTAGCTATATATTTGTACAAATTCCCATACCTCAAAGAGCTCTCTCCATTTTAGAGCAAATTGAGCAAGTAAAGAGACAGCTAAAGAAAACAACACTCCAAAAAAATATTTCACAATTTAAAATCAGACATTTTAAACCGTAAGAGGCCTTGACATGTCTAAAGACACAAGACTTTACCAGTATGAAGATCCTGAAGCGTACTGAGCCACTGCTCCTCCCAAAGAACTGTAAGCATCCCGAGTCCATTTATCACCATTTGAACATCTTTCACTAGTTCTGGATGGAGCTTATCCTGCATGTATAAAGACAGAATGAGACACTCTAAAGTTAAAAAACGGTAATTTAGCGAAACATTCATGAATGAAAAATAACAATAAACAATTCATATGAATGTCAAAGGCAAATTCAAAGAACAAGAGGATATTTGTATACACCACAAAGCTACAAAGAAAAAAGATTAGAAAGAAAAATACTGTTGATGATGAGCTTATGGTTGAAACTATCTTATCTGGCCATTGATGTCCTATTAGGACTCCACAGTTTGCTCACAGGAATGAAAAAGACAGCTTTGTTAATTTGTTTAGATGAAAAACCAGCAGAGAGCAAGTTCATGATGAACTATCACATTACCAAACAGCCCAATATGCGTTGAAGTTCCTCAGATGGTTCCCCTTCATAGGCATTTATATCAACAAGAGTAGGATACACTATAGACCAGGGAGTGAGTTTGGCTAGTGTCATCAATAAACCCTCTAGCTGTTTCCGAACCACTTGCTCTGGGTGAGAAGAAAGACGAGCAAACAGTTGAGGTGTAATTTCCTGAAAAAGAAGGATTAAAACTTTTATTTAATCATTCAATGATCAGGATTTCAAACACAATTTAAAACTAATAATAGCAAATAAAAAAAATTACACAATTTTTAAAAAAAAATAGGAAACAAAAGAAAATTAACTTGTGGCAACCTGCCATGGGAGTGGAGGAACAGTGGCAAGACCATGTTCCAGCATGTCTCTTAACTCCACTCCATAGTTCAGAAGAACATGTAGAACATATAATGTCGCTCTAAGACAGCAGCTCTCTTGCTTTTGCTTTGTTAAATCAAGATGGAGACCATCAGAGTAACCATCTTCATGAAATTTAGAAGTGGAATGAGAAAGATATTGCAAATAACCATGAGCAGCATGACCAAACAGTAAAACCTTTCTTCTCCTCACAGAAAAAAAAATATTGACCAATTCACGCACTGAGGATAAAACATAAGAATGTTCTATGCCAATATTTGCAGTAAGGAAAGCTTGCTGCAACTGAGAAGAAAGCATTGAAGGAAGACTTTCACAAGAAATGCTTTCACTTCCAGGTGCTCCAGCTGCAGTTTGAATCAAATGTATTGCTTTCTGAACCAAACCTTTTACATCCTTCCCATTCTCCAAAGGAGGTTCAGTATCTGCCCAAACAATCACTTCCTCATCAACTATATTAGTTTCTTTTCGAACCCGGCTACTGAGGAGAAGGTTTCTTACAATAGCATTCACTTTTGTGACCTCTTCTTCAGTCAATCCAGATTGGTCCAAGGAAATTTCAGGAAGAAGAGTTGGCAACAGAGTGCATGATTCAAGAACCCTATCATCAGCAGATAGATACTTTTTAGCTCGATTATAACACCAAGAGGCATAAGAGAGCCAAGATTTACCCATTGTGGGACAAAGAATAGATGACAATTTTGTAGCAGCACCAGCAATATCTTCAAGAAACAAACTCGAATTTGTATCTGAAAGTCCAGTACCTTCGGAATCTGAAATACCAGTAACCCTGAAACTTTGATAATCTTCTCGTATCTTAAGGTAAATATTTTCCCAATTTATTTTGGGATCCTTTTCAAGCAACCAAGATGAAAGTTTCAAACATGCCTTGGCTTTCATAACATTGTTAGAGTCAGAAACCACATTCCCAGGAGAGAGAATATAAGGGCACAACAATGACCAGAGACTTCTCACAGCATCCTCATATTTCTCCTCAGCATTCATAAGTAGAATACGTTCATATTGCAAATTTGTGATGAACAGACCTTCCAATGCACCATTGGCATCTACTGAGAGATTACTCGTCAGGTTTTCCAGTAGACGGTGTGCCAACATAAAATTCCTCTGCTTTCGAGCTAAAGTAATCAATTGCTGGAAAAGCTTCAGGGTCAATTCTGAGTTAGGGGACACAGAACGAAAAACCCGCAAAATCTTTATCCATAAACTGCAATCTTCATAAACTTTGTTAATTGGGTAGTGCACAACTTGATATAACGAGCTCATCATTGCTGGAAGTTGCTTAGGATTTGATCCAATTGGGATGCTCAGATGCTTGCAACCCTCTTCAAATGCATAAATGCAGTGGAGTTGCACTGCATAGCCCACTGCTTCAGGTAACCCATCTAACGAAAGAACCGACAAAGGCTCGTCCAACATTAGCTTAGCCTTCTCAATCTCCTCTGCCATTTTAACCTCATTCACATCTTTATAGAGCATGGCTTGAAGAAGCAATTGTTCACTTCTATGTAATGCCTGTTTGGGATCAACTGTGAGTTCATTGCTACTTTTAGGAGTCAGATCGAGGTAGCTCCATGACCCATGTATGTCTCCCTCATCAAAACGAGACAATGCATGAATAGCATTGATTTCATTACCAGCAGTTGTTAGGGCACCACAGTACCCTTTACCAGCATGCCTGGCACGAAGTGCTTGGAGTTCCATCAACCACGCTTCTAAAGACTTCCAATCAGACAGTGCAGTAAAGCACTCTAGGGCTCGTGCAATTATAAATTGTACACCATCGGAACCCATGGAACTGAGGGCCTCTTCAGACTGAAGTAGAACTGAAAAGTGAGCAGCTGCCTTCTCATATTGGCCATGAGCTTGGTATATAAGCCCTGTTATCCATGAAAATGGTCCAAAACTTCCTGTTGGCCCTGATCCATGTTGGGTATCATCCAAAAGCACAGAAAAAAATGTAGCCACTGCCCATTTTTGCAGGCCAGCCAATGCATCTGGTTCTCGACACCGACACATTGAAAGGGCCAAATGTCTCAGGACCCTCAGAACATCACCTCCAATCTTAGCCCTAAGAGAATGTAAAATCTCGGTCAGTTGTGCCCTTGGTTTGTCCTTTAATGATGAGACCACCACATTTCGGAGATCCAGCAAACGAGATGAACTGTAATGAAGGACAGCAGAATGACACTGTAATGCCAATCCTGCATTCATCATCGGCTCACACATCCGAGAAAACCACTCCTCACAAACCTTTTTGTTTGCACGAAAGAACAATTCGCTCTGAAGACTTGCAGAAGGCATGACATAAGATCCCTCATAAGCATTGTAAGTGTTTTTCTTTAACGCCTCCACAAAGTCTAGCAAAAGCCTCATGGGTAACAAATGCACAGTTGGGGAACCAATGATAATGCCACCTTCACCTGGCTCAGTGTCAAGTTTCAAATTATGGGCTATGTCCAAGAGCATTCGCTCAAGAGCTGCAAAGGTTTGGGTTGGTCCACCAAGGTGGGTTCGAAGACGAACAGTTATGCAATGTCTAGCTGCTTCATGTATAGACCACCAAGCAGCTGCAAGACAATTCGCCAAACAAATCTTTTCAAGCATCTTCGACTCCAGTTTTACATTCATCAATATGCCATCATGACCAAGCTTTCCACTATCTTCTAGTTGGCCTGAAAATGAGTCCTTTGAACTTTTCAGGGAGCTAAAGAGAAGGCGCAGTATCCAATTAGAGAGTGGGACTTTCCATCTCTGACATACGTAACTCAAAATGGTAACAAATTGTTGAGACGTGAGTTGATGAGGAAGTTGCTTGAGTGCAAAGATTAGTTTCCAGTGCCAGTGACATCTGCTCCGCAATCTAAAGTTAGAAGGAGCAGGACTGAATGAGTTCCTGACTTTATCCTCTAAACAACCACACGTATAAATTGCCATAGGGAGAAACAGAGAAATTACTCGAAGAAAAGCCGTTTTTGTATCAATATTTGGGTCCCCGAGCTTTTCAAGAGCAAGTTCTGCAACAGAGTAGAAGCATTCAGGAGAGATGAGACGTGCTTGAAGGAGAAGTTCCAAGATAGATGCCACCTGAGATCTCACTTTAACCTCTCTATCTGATGCTGCATCCAAAATTGAGGAAAGAAAGTCACTGCCTATGCTAGCTTGCCAAGAAGCTTTGTAAAAGGAATCAGTTTGATTAAACGAAGGATTCATATTAGCATCTGATAAGACTGCCATGACAGCCCCACAAAAGCTTCTGAGCCACTCAAAGGCTTCCAATTTGACTGTTAGAGGGGACATAGAATGGAGAGCTCTAACGATGTAACCAGAATATTTTCTCAGATACCCAACAATCTCAAAAGAGATTTCTTTTTTGAAAGTCACCACAGAATGAAAATCACTGCCAATTTCATTAGAAGTTCCAGTCTTTCTAGATTGTTGATTAAGAGTATGTTTGCTCAAAAATTCAACTTCACTAAGCTTCCTCAACACGCTCAAAGTATGGACTTGAAGGTCCAAGAAACTTTGGAATGGCGCCCTAAAAGGATCCAACTTTTCAAATATAAATGATGCCAATTTCACTGATCTCTCATGTTTGGATCTCACAACTTCCACTTGGCTCAGCAAACCCCCTGGAGCATTCAAACAAACAGAACTTAATAATATTTTTAAATCAAATTTTATCAATGCCAATAGCTCAAGTTCTGAATAACCATGAATGAACTGATCACAGCAATTCAGGTTCTTTTCAAGCACACTCTGTAACAGGTTGAGCTCTTCCATTAAAGAGGCAAGGGCCTGATCAACAACCCCCCTACAGCCATGCTGAAGAAGCAAAAGATAAGTGGCAGCTATAATTCCAGTCACAAGATGGCTTGGGTGCAAACGAAGCCTAGATAAAGGTGAATCGAAACAAAGTAATTTTTTAACAGCTGAAGGAGGAAGGCAGAGCTTTTGCAAAGACATTAGCTGCAAATTTGCTTTGAGAACACCATGAACCTGAAACAAAGGTACCTTGTGAAATTCCTCTGAATGCCCATTGTTCTCCCTCAAGTTCTGAAATAGGATATCAACAACGAGGATATAAAAGTTCGAAAATCTCTCTCGCAATATATCAGCTAATAACATCAAGCACCTACAAGACTCTTTAACCCATTTTGACCATCCGAATTTCTCACCCATCATTGAAAGGCATGACAATAACTGAGGACTCATGCTTTGAAGGGGTTCGCAAATTTTCGCAAGCAAATTCATTTCTAACATACCACTAGCTGTGGCCTGCAACACAGTTAAGAAACAAGATAGCAGAGCAAGCAGTCTACGAAACTGTTGAGGTGTAACGGGTGTGCCATCCAACAGAACAACTTCCATGTCACCCAAAAACTTTGCCAATAAACCCAATGAAAACTGTGAATTAACCGACCAATGCTTCTGAAACTGTAAGAAAGTACCCATTATTATACATCTATCTGATTCCGACAGGTCAGGTACCAAAGCCCATCCAAGAAGAAGGTCCACAATGTCTATGAAATGCGACTGAAAACTCCGGCTAAACTTCACAGAAACAATAGTTAGAAGGCCCAAAAGTTTACGAAGAAGATTCAAGGAGGTTCTTTCATCCTCAAGTAGTTCTTGGCATGCTTTAAGAGTAGGGAGAACATAGAGCTCAATTCCACCGGCCTCACCAGAGCCAAAGAATTCAAGGAGCCCTTCGAATGCCAGTTCAGCTGCTGCTCCATTATCAATGCTAATATCTCTAAATTGGGGTAAGGCCCATGCCATGAATCGTTCAGCAAGACCCCCACTAACGGTAGGAGACTGTAACCCATTTGATGACATTTGGGGGGAGCAAACCACTGAACACAGAGAACCATAAGCAGTGACTGCTGCCCTCCTCACTGAGTATGATCTGAAGGAAAGGGCCAATAATAACATGTATAAAATTTGGAAAGGAGGAGATCAAGCAGGAAAAGGAAGTTGCCTAACTGATAAGAAAGCTAGTTATTTACAGAAAGAAATAGTATGCAAAAGAGCTAAGTTCTGTTGTAAAATGCTTCATTAGCTAATATTCTGATTACCAACATGCACATATGATGCAGTCAATATGATCACATAGAACTAAGCCATGTTCAGTTAATTTGAGATTACTCATGTGTTTTTAAATGTTTTAATCAACACATGTTTAATCAGTATGTCCATGCGTATTTCATGTAGCAGCTCTAGTCCCTCATTTCCACCAATAAGAATTGATAATTCTCTCAAATTTAACATCATCAAGAAACACATACTCTCCGGGTAGGGGTGAGTATGATTCATTCAGATATGTGCTTTGTGGTGTCGAAGTACAACCATTCAGAAATTTCGACAATCACAAGGACCTTACCCAACAAATTATATATATCTATATATATATATATATATATATGGACAGTCAAGGGCGTTTGTGTGTATAATACATCTAACTAAAGTTTTTCTTTTTTTCCTTCTTTTTTTTTTATAATTGAATCAAACAGGGATTTCATAATGATCTCACCAGAAAATATTGCACATTTATAAAATAAAAACCTAAATAATAATAGAATATGGGCTTCATTCACTCTCAAATATGAAGTAAACAATCTACCTCTATTTTGAATGCTTATGAGCACTATTAATTCGCACAAAACCACATACAAACCCCAGAAATAAAGAAATTAGGAAGAAAAAATAAATCCTGAGCAACTCCTGTGAAACCACATCCCTAACCGAAAACTCAACCAGGAAAGCCACAAAATTCAATAGATACAATCAATTTTAATCCAAATTCACAGCTCGAGCAACAAAAGAGGAACCCCAGTACCGGAGACTGGTTTGAAATAACAAAAGAAACAGGAATTGAGCAGTGACTCACTTATCTGAGAGTAGTTGAGAGAGACCCTGAGAAAGGAAGGAAGAAGATCGGGCGACAAGTAAGAGATTATGAGGGTGAATAATCGCATGGTGAAGAGAATTTATAGCAGAGATACGAGAATCGTCAGAATCAGAGGATTCATCCTCTGGAAGACCTGCTGCTAGCAGCGCAGCTAACTGTTGCTGTTGATGGTGGAGCCCCTGCATCTCACACCATCTCTCTCTCTAATTTCTGCCGCTTTTTTCCCTTCCTTTTTGAATTGGGCTTCTCTTCACTCTCTCAACTCTTGACAAACACCGTTGATATTTTTCACACGATTTAACAAGTTCAGAACATATATACGCCAACGTTTTTATGATTAGGGGTGGCAATGGACCCGGCCCGGGACCACCGGGTATACCTTACACGGTTCGGGTATGGGTTTAGCATTTGGATCCGGCGGGTTGGATACGGGTCCAAAACTTGGACCCAGGTCTGACTCGTACCCGACTTGTACTAGAGATAAAATATTTTACTTTAAACTCTATTCATTTGGATGTATTAAGGATCGAATATAATTAAAACCAGTAGTCATCTGTAGCTATTAAATGACAAATCACATGACTTGAAATTTAATAGTGTTGGTGAATGTGACCTTGTTACCAATAATACAGGTATATGATGATAAAAAAATGGGCAAAAAAAAGAAAAAAAAGCTCATAGTGATGGTGACAATGGACCCGAGACCCGATGGGGTAGACCCAAGACCAGATTGGGTACAGGTATGGGTCCAATTTTTTTATCCGATAAGTCAAGTATAGGTCCAAAACCTAGATTTGAATCTATTCGGGTCTGGATCCGGGTCCAGCCAGGTGACCCATTGCCACCCCTATTTTGTGTTTCCCTGCTATTGCTTAAGGAGCTAACCTTTATTGAAGAAATCCTAGAGGGCCAGAAAGAGATCCTTTTTTTATAACCTTCCATCCAAATTTATAAAACTCTACCGAAAAGCCATTCAGACCCATAGCACTATCACTTTTCATATTCCAAATACAAGCCTTGATCTCGTCCATATTGAATTCCTCAACCGATTTTTCCTTCTGATTAGAGCTAAACAAAGATAGTAGCAAATATGATAAACCAGATGAAGGTCGATATCGCTCTCTTGGGCTCGCAAAGCCTCAAAATACCAGTCATGTGATTATCAATGTCAGCCTCAATAACTAAACAAAACCCATCCTGATCTTCAAAGAAATAATTCAGTCATTTTTTCTACTTATCACAGTAGAGAGGTGGAAAAAATTAGTATTGGAGTCTCCCCCACTTTTATATGTTTAATTCCTAGGGTGAATTCCCCTAGTGTTATGATAGACTTTCGTCCCATTGGTTTGCATAATGTCTTGTACAAATCATCAGCAAAAACATCTCAAATCGTTTACAAGTTATTCTTCATAATATTATTGACCTTAGGCAAGCTACTTTCTTGAAAGGCGGGCTTATTACAGATAATATTCTTATGGCAAATGAATTCATATCTCTTTGCCATAAGAATTCAGTTCGACCTAAAATGTGTTTGCAGATTGATTTAAGTAGTGCCTATAATAGGGTATCCTAGGACATTATTGTGGGTAGGTTGCATGCATCAGGTTTTCTTGATCCCTTTGTTTCATGGATTTGATTATATATCTCCGCTACTTTCTTTTTTGTACTGAGACATTAGCTCCCCAAAGGGTTACTTTAAAGGGAAAAGAGGTTTGAGCAATGAGATCATTTGTTCCCATATTTATTTTTATTGGTCATGGCCTTTTTCGATAGACAACTTGACCATGCTATATTGCACGGCATGCTACCTAAGACTTTCCCTTCGATATGTGATTATGGGGTCTCGTATCTATTTTATGTTGATGATGTTGTTATCTTCAGTGAAGCATCCATTTCTTTTGTCATTGCTATGAAAGAGGTTATTATCAATTTTGAAGTGACTACTGCCAAATATTAAATTCTTCAAAAAGCAAGGCTTTTTTATTTAGTGTACCACAGGGTGGCCGTGTAAGGATCTTGAGGAAGTTGGCATTCAACGAAAGTTCCCTACTAGTGCACTATTTGGGGTTACCATTATTTCATGGGCTTCTTAAGCACAACTATTGTCATAGTTTGGTTGGCATGGTTATCGGTAAGATTGGTATATGGCAAGCATTATGTCTATAATATGCAGGTCGACATCAGTTGCTAAAGTTAGTACTCAGTGCATTAGCCATTTTCTGGGTCTTATCATTTGTACTCCCAAAGAAAACATGTAATATTATAGAGATGCTACAGAGGAATGTCTTATGGGCAGCTGTAGCAGAAAACAAAGGGGTTCATCTTGTTAAATGGATGATAGTTTACGTTACCCAGGAAGAGGGAGGACTAGGGGTATGAGATATATTTGGATTTTAATATTGCAGGAATGATGAAGTTGGCCTGGCGGATCTTGGCAAATCCCTCTTCTTTATTAGCTCAGTTTTTCAAGCACATATACTTTAGGAACTCTTCTATATGGGAATCCAAATCAAAGAGAGGGTATTCCCACGCTTGGAAAGGCATTTTACTTAGCTTAACGCATATAAGAGAGAATGTTCAGTGGTGTATTGGTAATGGGCAAATGATAGATTTTTAGGAGGACCCATGGCTATCAGGGCAGTAATTATCAAATTCTTATGGGGCTAACATTCATAAGGATTTGAGAGATATCGTTGGGCAAAAGGTCGCTGATTTCTTTGGTGGTTCACCTCAAATTTGAACCTTGCCCCCACCTTCATTAGTGTCCTTCAGTATATGGAGAGAGGTTGAGAGTTATCCTCTCCCTTTATAGCCCAAAATGGACTCACTGATATGGATCCATTTTGCTAATGGTTTGTTTTCAATCAAAGCAGCATGGGATTTTATTCGATACAAAGGTTCTTCGTAGCCTATATTATGTGTCGTTTGGTCTTCTAAATGTCATCCACGGGCTAAATGGTTTTCTTGATTGGCCCTACATAATTGTTTATCTACTACATCTTTATTTTAGCAACGAGGCATCCATCTAGCCCCATTATGTCCTTTTTTTGTATGAATAATGATGGCAACATTTACCATCTTTTATTTCACTAATATGGAGGTCAGATAGCGTGGTGATGTGGTAAGCAGTTCATACTCGGTTTTTCTATTCTTGATATGCTTAGAAGCTGGTAAGCTTTTAAGTTTAAATCAGATGGACTTTTCAATATTTGGACTTCTATTTTCTTCACCACAAATTGGTTTCTATGGGAGGAGCGAAACAGGAGAATCTTTCAATCACGAGTCACAAGAAGGGAACAAATTGTTAAGTAAATTACTTCACATGTTAAGGCTTTAGCGAATGCCAAGAAATGGACATTCCACTTATAAAAAAAGACAATCATTGGGAATTTTCAGATTACTTGGCGACAGCAGAACCTAAGATCCCTTCTTCCGGTAGCGTGGTCATTTCCTAAGGCTCAGAGCTACACGTTGAGTATTGATGGTGCTTCCCTACAAAACCCTGGATTAGCAGGTAATGATGGGGTCATCAAGGATAGCAATGGTGGTCTTATTGCTGCATTTGTTAAGCATTTTGGTAGTGCCTCTAATAACTATGCAGAATTCTTGGTGCTCGAAGAAGGGATTCATTTAGCTCTTCAGAGGGGGTGTTTTCCACTACAGATAGAAAGCGATTCTTCTTTGCTTGTGAATATTACACAGAATCGATGTCATGCCCCATAGCGGTTACAGACGATTGAAAAAAATTGTCGAAGCAGTCTCTCTACTCATAGGTGGTCCATTGTCCATTTTTTGGAACAGTCTCTCTACTCATAGGTGGTCCATTGTCCATTTTTTTTGTGAGGTAAATATGGTAGCTAATGCCCTTACTAAGAGAACATCTGTTAGCTCTGGTGCTACTATTTGCCAGACTTTATTTCCACTCTGTTGCTTCATGATTTGGCGCAACTGCCCCATTATAGGGTTGTAAAATAATGTGTAATGCTTGTTCTTATATTTAATTAATGAAAATTAGGTAGGGGCTTTCTCCCCCACTGATGCACCCAAAAAAACAAGGTGGTCACAATTAATATTGACCATTGGATGTGAAATTAAATAGCTGCATTTATTCAATTGACCAAGCTCAAACTTCAAAGAATTTTTCTCAAACTTTGTGACACACCCATGCTATCAAATTTCACATCGGATGGTTGTAGTAATTATATCCTCTTGTATGATAAGTAAATGATCTCATTGTATACAATCATTTCTTCATATTATTCAATTGTGGCGCATTCTAGCAGTGCCACCGTCAATTCGAAAGATCGGTTTCCAAGATTGATTCTTCTTTTGTTGTAGTTCAACATAGTACTCAATCTCTATCATGATTATTTATTTTGTTTTTGTCTAAAGCATAAATCAAATCTTGATTTCTTGTGAATCTCCCACGGATTTTGTCGTGAAAGTATAGAATAGAAAACAAAATTAAATTAAAATACACTACACACTCTTGAAAATTGGGTCTTGACTATGAAACATAAAATATACAAATTATTTTTTAATTTTGATAATACAATAACTGTTTTGGTAAATTTTACTGATCTTTCAATATGAGAGACACCCCCAGATGCTTGATTTCTCATTAATGGCTGGGTTGTGATCTTCTGATACGAAAGTCTCTTGCATGGTTGATCAAAACGTTGCAAACTTCTTGAACATAATAAACGGTCCGTGACTTTCTCAAACTTTACAAATTTCTCCATATATATCGATTATGTAAAGGTGCGGTTTCTATAGGGATGCAACCTTAAACAATCCAATCAAGGCACACCTTAAAATTTTATCATAACGTGCAATTTTGTTATAAAAAATTCTTGGTAGTATCTTAAAATCTATTTTCATACCTAATTAGAAAATTTTTAATTTCAAAAATAGTTAAAATCAAGTAGATCTATAAATATATGAAAATCTTGAAAATGAACGGTCTAGATAATGTGTTGCAAGATGCACTATTTTCGGGACTCGAAAACTGTTTTTTTTTCTTCATATTCATACATCTCAATGTCGAGATGATCGATTAGAAGTTTTTTCAACATTAAAACAACATTTCCAATAGATTTTTGAGGTGTATCTGTGATTCTACATTTTAAGGTTGCAACCTTATATAAACTTTTCCCTTATGTAAAACGTTGGGTTTTAAAAATGTGGATCTAGATTAAAATCACCTGATCCAGATCATGATATAGTGGAACCAGTCCAATTCCTACCATATGTCTAGAACCA